TGAAGAGCTGCTCTGAAGAAAGGAAGGTTCTTGTCTGGCTTCAGATTCACTTCCTCTCACTGTGTCTCCTGTACAGTAATAAATTGCTGTGTCTTCAGCTTTGAGGCTGTTCATTTGCAGATAGAGCTGGCTTTTGGCATTGTCCCTGGAGATGGTGAAGCGGCCCTTCACTGTGTCTGAGTAGTAAATAGTACCAGAACTGGTGCTTATGAATGCCACCCATTCTGGTCCTTTCTCTGGAGCCTGTCTCACCCAGCTCATATAGTAGCTGCTGAAATCAAATCCAGAGGCTTGGCAGGAGAGACGGAGGGACTCTCCAGGTCTTCTCACATCCCCTCCAGACTCCACCAACTGTACTTGAGACTGGACTCCTAAAAAGAATATATATATATATTTTAAATGAGATCTCCTGCTTAGAAGAGCAGAACATGGAAATAAACTGTATATGGGGGAAATAATTACCTTTGAGGACTACTAGTAAGGACACAAGGTTGAGCCACATTTTCACTAAGTGAATGGAGGGAATTGACAAGAGACAAGAGAGAGAAAATAGCACAAGGTTTATGTTCCTGGGTGTTGTCTGAAGAGGGAAACCATGGGGCTCCTTTAAAGGGGAAATGGTGCCTCGATTTACATATCTGTTGGGATAAAAGAGCCCTTGACAAACACACTTCCGTGAACATCACTTGCATTTGCATTTCGTAATTAACATTGCACCCCTAAGAAAAGGATTAGGAGACATTTATTTTTTCTGTGAATTAATAGGTGAAAGGGCAAATTTATTGTGTAAAATAAATAAATAAATAAAAGAAAAGCCTGAAAAATACACCAAATGAACTCTCTTATTTGTTTATTTTATGGAAAATCCCAAATACATTAAATGGAAGCTAATCTGCAAGGAATACTGTTTCAGCTAGACTAGTTAGCTCAACTCACAAAGTAGAACTTAAATCATATTGTGTCAAATACATCCGCTTATTTGAAAAAAGAATGATAAATAATTATCTTAGTATTATCCAAAATATATGTATTTTCTTTGCTCTAGGTTATCTGTCATAAAACCAGATAGGGCTTTTCAGTAAGGATTTTGGTGTCTTGAGAAATTAAATTATTTTCAGATCCATTGACAGAAACTTAAAATCTTCTGGACTGGTGTATATATTAGTATCTATAATGTTTTAACTGTTTTATATGATCACTAAATATGATAATATGATCCTTTCACTTTGTTTCCACTTCCAGGCCAAGGTTTGAAATACCTAGATAAGTTTTTTCTGGTGACTTAAATGCAAAATCTTTCAATAAAATTTCTCAGTTTCACATTGAGTACTCCTACAATTTTCTTGAGAATGTTTCAAGGAATTATTACAGAAATAAAATAAAATAAAAATATCCGGTCCCCAAAACAGTTTTACATGTTCACTGAATATGATAATATAATCCCTTCATTTTGTTTTTATTTCCAAGAAAGATTTTGAAATACCTAGACAGTTTCTCTGGTGACCAAAACCAACAATACACACACACATAAATATCATTCTCACTGTGAAGACTGTAGCCCACTGAGATGTGAAATTTTCTTGAGAGCCTTTCAGTGAATTAATACAAAAATAAATTTAAAAAAAATAATAATTATCAGTCCTCCAGAATGAGACAATATCTTGTT